AGAGTAAGGTTTTTATATAGTAAAAATTTGGTTTCTGATTTACAGTGCGTTATAGAATGGAGGCCGTTATAGAGGGGCCGTTATAGAGAGAGTGAACTGTATAGTGTCCATAATGATTTTTCTACGAATCTGAAAAGGGTGTTAAAATTAATTTCAAAAATTCTCTATTAAGGCCAACTTAAACAACTTACCATAGTCAACATTTGCAAAGTATTTTTTTTATTTGACAATTTATAAGGCTCATTTACATAAAACTTATGAAGTGTTTCAAAAGTATCTGTTGTAAATCCATTTATGGATCCAAATGATCTTGTGGAATCAATGATGTGGTATTTCCAGGAATGAAGCTTAGGAAGATTTAAATTTGTTGGAGAATATCTTCCTAAAATTTTTACAAATTGAGTTGACCATCTATAGATTATTTGCTATAAAATACAATATTTATTGGCAAGCAGATTCTTTGAAATTTATTAATAAAAATATATACAAATAGTTATTCACTTCAAATTCATTTAATAATGATTCATTAAATGATGCACTCCTACTAATCATATGCATCTTATTCCACAAATAATAAAGTTCACTCAAATCTTTCAAAATTTTGCTATTACTATCATCTATAATATTATCAATAACAAATGTACAAACTTGTATCATATTCTATATTCATGTGCAGTAAATCTATTTAATTCTTTTAATCCATTTTTAAAGATTTTCAAGTTTGGATGTCTTGGAATTTTAGAAAACTGTTCATCTATTTTATCAATTAATGCCTGACCATATAATGATTTTAATAAATTGCAAGTTAATAGGGAAAAAGTCCTAAATCAAGATGATGCATCCTGTCTGGAACTGTCACACTATAAATATTAAATTCCCTACATAATTATTTTTATATTACCATAAGTAACAAAGTATGTAAAACTATCACTCAACTATTACTTAATTTTCATACTTAAATTTCCAAAAAATATTTTCTATTGGATAGATTGAGTAGGCTTTATCATTCCCATCTCATAAGACTTGTTTCGTGTGATCTGGTGTTTGTAATAAAATATTTTTGAGGATAGATTCATATTGCTTAAATTTTCTTTTTCAACTAAACAAGTATGACAAGGTAATTTCGAATTGTAAGATTTATAAGTTGTGCAAAATGCTGATGCCTCTGGTAAATCTGATATGATAAAAGGTAGCTTCAATACACACCAGATATGGCTTTTATTAATTTTAAGAATAGTTCCATCTTCATACTGTTTATAAATTGGATCAAATAATATCTTCAATGATTTCATAAATGCCAATCTTTGTGCAGATTTGAACACTGCTGAACTTTTCTCTGAAATAGTTGTGGTTTTTAAAATGAGCAAATAAGCAATTAGTGTTTTAGATTCTGGCTTATTTCGAAGACAAACTGGTATATTTCCTAAAGTAATATATATGGGATGTTTCATGGTTTTACCAAGATTATCACAATTAGTGGCATCAGAATATATAATTATTGAAAGCAATTTTGATTCATAAAGTATTGTTGAAGATGCAACTTTCCACCATGTTCCTGACCATTGCTCATTGTAATTATCACTGATTTGTATCTGGTAAATAGTATGAAAACATTAGTTATAATATTATGTGATTAACTTCAATGTCTATAAAAATAAGCATCCTGTTATCCCGAATATCATTATCCATTTTGATAGTTTCTCATTAATCCCATTAATTATAGATCTATAATATAAAAAATATTCCTCATTTTCATAATCAACAATTTTAATTTTTTGAAAATCTGAACAACTAAAATTTATTTTATCCATAAATTGGTGACCAATTCTAGTAGAACCTGGCAAACTATGATTTGTTTTTTATGTCTATTAAAGAACCTATTATGGCATCTCCTACACTATTAGACAGTTTGTGTTGAACAACCCAAGAAAATTTAAATAAATTTCCATATGGTTCTATTTGAATAAATCAATGAATATAGGTATTATACCTACTAAATTCATGAAATCTGCATATGTACTGTTTGGGAAAGTTAATTATTGACTCAAACTCTCCTCCTGATTTGTAAAGACATCCTTGTAATTACATTCAATAGCAAACTCTGTATCAGATTCAGAATAAGTAATCAATAATATTCTGAAACAATTGAAAAAATTTAATAAGGATAATAATAAATAACCAATGAATTAAAGTAAAATGTGTATACATAATTGATTCAACATCTCCATTAGATTCAACATCAACAGATGAGCTATTTTCATCCCTTTGAAACATGGTTGTTTTATTTATCAATTTTTCTACCTCATTTCCAAATCTGATTCTGCTCCACTATTATCCATTAAAAGCTCCTTATGTCTTTTTTTACGATTATTTGTGGCTTGAATTGTTGAAAAGATTGAATTACAAATCTCGCATTTATAGATTGTCATTTAGATTTTGAGTGATCTGCAAAATCAAATCATTTTATAAAAAAAAAAATGTCAAAACATAAGATACAGTTCAAAGAAAATCTTTGAGAGTTTTTGCTAACTCGTCCAATACAACATCTGCTAACGCGTCCAAAACAACACCTGCTAATGCGTCAAAAAACAACAATAAAATAAATAAATTCAATGATGTTATTAATCTTGAAAATTATACTAAATCAAAGGCAATGTCTACTTTAAAAACAGGTGATGACTACAACATATGTGAAGAAGAAAATGGAAATGAGAATAGAAGTGAAATCGAGAGTGAAAATGAAGATGTGAATGAAAGTGTGAATGTTTTTTTAAATATGACTGAGGGTGATAGTTATCATGGCCATGCTTTGAAAGAACTTCCAATTATAAATAATACCAGTAATTTGTCAACCATTTGCTCAGGTTGCAAGGTATGTATGAATATAAATTTTCAATTGTTTAAATTTTTATTAATAATGGTTTATTATTATAGGGATGGGAAAATCTATTAATCATTCATAAATTTGTTGCAATCTACTATTACAACAATGAGAGAGATCCAGGATAATCAGTTAAAAAATGATTCTACTCTTAAAGAGATTAAAGCATATGTATTGGTAATGTTAATGGTCATAAGCAATTACGTTTTGAATGTCTGTACCAAAATATCAATGTGCTAGTTCAGTATCTTGCTTTGTCCAAATGCCACAATTCAAACTAAAGAAATTATTTTGGAGAACATTTTGATACTTCAAATACTAGCATACAGATAAATTACGACATAATTGAAATGCCATCGAAGAAGCTCATTAAACACATGATAAAAAAAAACTCGATAAAAAAACTTACAATAAAAACATTGTTTTTTTTTCGAATTATTTCTCTATATATTAAATATTTAATATTAATAAAAATACGGCAGGTCACCAAAAATACATTTTTTCTTATTAAATGTGGATCATAAAAATCCTAATCATTGATTGATAAATAATCATTTGGTAGAAATTCTCAAGTTTATTTTATTAAAAAGTAGTTGTTTAAAGAAAACTGTTATATTATTAATATTTTCGAATAAGCATCTAAAGAATATTTTTATTTTTATTTGATTATACATTGTTATGTTATTACAGTAATTGTGTTAATGCTATTAAAAACATACACACTATAATTATACATAAATAATGAAAATTGATTAATTAAATAGCTGAAATTTTATCACGGCCAATTCGTTTATTGTTTAACTTAATAACGAATTGCTTGCCTATGAGATCTCTAACTTTAGGTCCATTGATAACAAAAGTGCAGTCAAAAATTTTGGCTCTAGGAGGATTAAGTACCAAGGCTGAAAAAATACTATTCAGACTACCATCGCCTTCAATGGAAAAGTCATAATTATTAATATTCGAGCTCGTAAAACCATCGGAGAACACTGCAGTTATAACTAGCCGTCGATGATTACTGCCAACGTCAAACGACTCAATAAAAGTGACTACACCTTTGGCTATATCATTATCACCGAATCTTGCAAAAGCAGCTTTGCCTATATCTGGTGGTGCACGTTTTTCCAAAGAGTTCACATCGCGTTTTTCTTCAAAAACTGGTGATGCATAGATAAATGCATTCGAGAAAATCATCATAATTAAAAGGGCAAATGCCAAAGATTTAAAAGATTTTGACAACATTTTTTTTTTTTGTATATTAAAATTTTTTTATTGTTATTGTTA